AGAGCGCCCCCTCTTTACCTCTACAGTTTGTATCTTTTAATGGCTCAAGTCGTTATTGCAGCTGCTGTCAGGCACTAACTGGGCCAAAATGTAGCTGCTGTTGTTGTTGTTTTACCATTTTTGTTTCCCTCTTTTTCATTTTTTGTTTTTCGTTTACACTGGCAAGTTATTAATGACAGAAGTCACCTCAGCGCTGAGGCTTTCATATGCAGATGTCAGGCAAATGAAAAAGGCAATGAGTGGAGCAAGGCAAAAAGGCAGGAGCTGAACTTTTGAGCTTCTTCTGCATCAAAAGTGAAGCAGTTTGAATTACACATTAAATTTTAGTAAGCACACACTGACACAGACATTTGACAGACTGTCTATCTACTTTTGACTGACAATAGGCCAGCATGAAATATCTTTAATTAAAATTTGTATAAAGATAAATGGGTTTTGATATCTACAATGGCTAGTTCAAAGTTTTTATTGCATAGACACATGCCCACATCTGATCAAATGGCAAAGCAAAATATTCCTTCACAATGAACACACAAAAGGACTCAGCTGACGGCTGACTGCTTACTCCTTGCCAAACCAGCAGCTCGAAATTGGGCAGCGAACAGTGCCCAAGGACATGGACAAGTCCTGCTTTGTGTAAGCCAACAAAGTTTTGATAGCTTTTCCATGCATTTTGTGCTATTTGATTAGGTCTTTGTGCCTGCGTCAGGCTAATTACATGACTCGTTATTCAATTTCTAAAGGAAAACAGATGAAACTCAATTGAATTCAAAGCTAAATCTAAATTTGATTATACTTAACTTTCGCTGCACATAATTTCACAAAACGCACATTAAAACCAAATCGTGAAAAAGCGTGGCTTTTAAAAATTTGATAAAAAACTCAAGTCTGACAAAAATAAACAAAAAAAAAAAACATAAAATATAAAATAAAAACAAACAAAATGTCTTTTAAAACTCATAAAACAAAAAAATATATATATATATATAAACTTTCTATTATCATGCTCTGCTCTTTTTAACTTTATGCCTTTGATTAACTTTTATTTTCTCTCCTTTGGTATATTTTTTTGTTTTGTTTTTTATTAATTTCTTTTTTGCGTTGATGTAAATAAATTTTATAAAAAAAAAAAACAAAACAAAACAAAACAAATGCGTTTGTAGGACGAGAAAAATCAGCTACTTATAACGAATCTTTGGCTTTCGTTGGTAAGTTTCAACTTAAACTCAAAACTGAATTAAACATAAAAATCATGAATATTGTATTTTATAATAAATAAATCATCTGCTTAAATACCATATCATAAATAGTACAAAAAAGCATTTTGTTAGCTATGCTGAGCAGCTTTTAAGATAAATAACTAAATAGTGTTGTAAATATTTGAGAGATCATCAAATGTAGTCAATCTCGGCTGCTAGGCATAGCTAATGAAATGTTTCTTTTGCCTGCTTCATAATTTATACACACACACGGCCATACCCTATGCTAAGAGTTGTACTAAATAGCACTCAATGTTTATGGACCCAAACTTCTATATAAAGTTTCAGTTTCCAGCAATTCTCTGCTTCCGAAAACTATCCATTTTATGTATTCTAAAGCTCTCTATAGCTCTCTATAGATCCCAACTTCACACTTTTCGCTATAATATCTCTGTCTATACCTCTCTATATATACATATTTATATATATAAAAAAAACAAAATATATATATATATATATATATAAATAAATATATATAAATATAAATATATATGTATATATATATATATATATATAAATACATATATACATATCCATATCGAAGCCAACTTTTTAGCTTGACTGTGTGGCTTAGTTCGTGTGTGATAAATTATTTAAACCTTATGACTTAAATACAATTGAATTTAATTACATAAACACTTAAATCAATGCGCTTTATTAAATATACATCTACATTATTACACATAAACTACTAAAAAAGAAGAAGAATCGAACATATTTTAAACTCTTTAACTAGCTAAAGCATAATGCAGTTTGATTTCCTATTTTATTCTTCTACTATTTAGTTTTCAAAAACATTTTTAAGTAGATTTTAAATGCTTTAAAATACTCTGAGATTTTAGTTTTAGCGCAGTATACAATTTATAGTGTATATATTTTATTTTTCATTTGGCATTTATTATTGAGAGCAACTAAAAAACAAACACTTAACAGCATACAAAACACTCTAAACAACAATAACATCAACCAAAGTGAACAACAAAAACTATTGCATGGATTAAATGCAAAAATTTCTCACATAAATTACATTGTTCGATAAGTCTACAAATTAAACTACAAATCGCATGTCTTAAAACACAAATTTTTTTATTAACGTCTTTTTTATTATGCATAGGACTCGTGTGTCTGCGGCTATGTGGGTATGTGGGTGTGCGAGTGTGTTTCATATAATTTTTTGTCTTTGCTTTATATGCAGAATTGGGCTAGTTGAAACGCTCATCAAAAGCCCTGTCAATTTGTGAAATTAATTAAATTATTTATTTAACGCAGCGCCTCTCTCTGCGATTCTCGTGTGCATGTTGTATGTGTCCTGTAATTTGTAATTTTTGGTTTTATCCAGGGCCAAAATAAAAAACATAACACTTACAATGTGATACGTGCAACGCTTTGTTGCCATTGTTGTCGATGTTGTTGTTGTTGCTGCCAATTTTCAATTTGATTGATGGCTTATGCGTCATTTATTAACTGACATTTTGAAATGTCCTCAAAATGTTTGACAATTCGCAGCAACAGTTGTAATTTGAATGCTCGACACCGAACGACAACCAACGAATCTACATGATTCAAATGGATCGACCCTATAAAGTGCTTTCCACTCGTTTAGTAATTGTCGGGCTGATAGGACAGCAGGCGAGGCAGAGCCATGGAGTAGAGCTGTGATGGATTTACCAACAGCTCTGGGATGTTATAAGACTACATGTTTGAATAGAGTTTAAAAACTAGAAGTGTCAGACAGCGTAAATTATACATACGTTTAAGACTCATAAGTGCTGTGAATCAATGGAAAGTAGAGCATAAAATGATATTTGATTAAATAATTAATACGCTATTAAAGACAACAAAATGTTATGTACATCAGGTGGAGTTGAAATATGGAGGAAACAAGAAATGGAAAATATATATGGAAAACCTTTGATTGAGTCAAAAGTCAGCACCTAGAGGGTATCTAGAATGAGCCAAAAGAAACTGTGTAAGCGGTGAAGCAAACCAAAATGAAACTCAGCTGAAATTTGCTCTTCCAAACTAAGAAAATATCAGAAATTAAAACAATTTAGAGGCTGAGCTCTTAATGGATTTAAAAACAGGATGCCCTGCAATATATATTTTAGAGTGTGGTAGTATTACCCGAGACTAATTGCTATTGTGAAACGCAGAAAAATCTCACCCGACTATGCCACAAAACTGCGTAATACGCGGTCCAAATGGATGACAGCTCCTAGATGAGGAACGGCAGGAAGGCGTTTGTTGGAAAAATTGGTCATATTTCTGTTGCATGTGGTTAGTGTGTACCGTCATCTGTTTTTACAGCTGTCATAAAACCGCACACAATAACAGCAGTAAAGTAGAAAGTTTTTAAAGCCAAGCAGACGTCGCTTCACGCTTTATAAGAGTCATATGCATATATATGTATATCTGTTCTCTATATATCTATACACATATATAATGTACTGCAATGTCATGGCATGTAATTAAATTTTTTGTGATTTAAAAAGGGATTTGCTGCAGCAGAAGCCAGCAGAGACAATTGCTTGCTCTAAAAATGCCACAAATGGGTGTATCTCGCTCTCAATGTGCGTGTGTGTGTAAATTATAAAGCACAGCAGCAACAACAACTATAATAACGAAGAGGAAAACTAGAGGAACAACTTTGCCGCTTTTATGACAAGAACCACTTGTGGGCGAGGCTGTAAAGCACAAGCGCGAGTTGCAAGTTGTTTGGTTGCTTGTGTGCGCGTGGCAGCAACAGAGCAACAAGCAGCAACAACTGTGAACAGTCAACCGCAAAATGACACAAAGCACTGCCTAGTCCTGTGCCGCCTCCTGGTACTCGTCCTGAGGGCAAAAGATAGCGCGACACAAGTCAGAACAGTTGGCCACGGCATGTTGCAGGATCAAACAGTCGCGTTCAAATGACAATAGCAGCAGGCAAGGACTTATATAACGCAAACCATATACCCTTGGTGCCGGAAAGATTGACAATTTTGAGACATAAATTATATGGAAACTATAAGGTATAAGAGTTGAAAGCAAAGAAAAAGAAGCTGTTCAGAGTACAAAGAAAAATATTTGTAAAAACCATATAAAATATTGTCTACATGCTGAAAAGTGTACAAAAAGCTTAGTCGGATTAAATTATCTTGTGAATATATATAGAAAATACAACAAATAGATATTGCCTAAGGCAACTATAACATATAGTATTTATAAAATTTTCATGAAATAGTATTTTAGTTTTTATTTATCAGATTTAGCATATTCATGAATAACTTCCTACTGTCTGTCTTACTGAATTTCTTTCTGCTCTTCTATATCTTTCATACTAACTCTAAGCAGAGCATTATAAGAACAGATCAAGTGTATGTGTGTGTGTATCCTTGTGTGCGTCTTTGTGAATATATATTTGTCATGCCAACTGCTAAAACTTTACTCAAATCTTATTCTTTTTTTCATAAGCTAAGCATGTGTTAACTTGTCATCTTATATATCACATGGCTTTAACATAGCATTGTTATGCATTATGTGACTGTTTTGTGCATGCGTTGAGCGTGAATTAGTTTTACTGTATGCATGTATATTTATTCTATTTCCACTATATAGATTAGTTCTGTGTGCCTCTTGTCTCACATCATGTTGCTTTATTATTTCATTTATAGTTATATTTATTGTTTCAATTATGAATAGTCTTTAACGAACTGAAAATATTTGATCGGTACTAAAATATTTTGACTGTATAACAAATAGGAATGGAACGACTACAATTTACGCTGGAACGAAACGGAATATGGAGGAGTCAAAGATCTGCGAATTACGCCCAACAAACTGTGGAAGCCCGATGTGCTAATGTACAATAGGTAAGTGGGTCCAAGCACAGTCCCAATTTCGGACTAACTAACTCAATATAACGATGGATAAAACAATAAACGATTAGAAATCAAAATTACATTTTGATTATGCGCAGTGTATTTAGTAACATACAATTTAAAAGTTCTTTAGGTATAGAACAAGAAAACGATATACCAACACCCAAATATCTCACAATTAAAACCTATTTTATATATGTGCCATATATTATATATGCAATGGTAAGTGTCTATAACAGTCTTAATCAAGCCCCAGCCAGCTGATAGTTATAAATCTTTCAAAACTTTATAGTGATTAAATATTTTGGCTCTAGCATTCAAAATTTATGTTATAAATTAAATTATACAATATACATTTTTATGTAGTTGGTTTGTGCACTTTGGTTGATAAAATGAAAATATTCGTTGAGTTGCTTTTTTATATATTATAGTTAGCTCTAATGGTAGTCTATAAACTATAGATTGTTCAGCTATAAATTATGTAATAATTCATTTTAAGTTTTTGTAGGATTATACCTTTCCTAAATGGAGTAATGGAAGTAAAAGAAACGCATTCAATAGTCAAATTAATAAACTTGATGATAATATAATTCAATGAAAATGCAATACATTTCATTTTGAATCTATTTGCTTTATTAAATATATGACACTTGAGGCTAGTTTTCTAGATCTTAAAGAAGCGTGCGCGCTGACTAAAGCTAAAAGTCCGATAAAATACATTTGAAACAGTGTGTGTAATATAATAAACAAATTTATATATATATATATATTGTCTTAAAGCATTGCTTTGTTTAAAAACCACATTTGAAATTTAACTGCGTCTCGCTTCATGCGCTCGTTATTCAAACAGAACAATGTATTATTTATAGTATAAATTAAAAAAAATAAATAAATAAAAAAAAGAATTATTAATGAAGATGCCGACAGTGCAACCGACTGCATAATACTCGTTAGAGTCAACCATAGATGAACTTGTATTTTCGATTTCGAAATTCAACGGCCAAAGTCGGTTTTTGTTGATAAAGTATTCAAATGAAATGACGCTCAGAACGAAATGGTCCTTGTAGCCATATAGAAAAGGTCGTATCCCTTAATCAAATAAAGGTCTATATACTTGCTCGAGTAACAACAGAAAGCCAATATACTCTCTTAATACTTGCTTAACGAGTATAAGAACTGTATTTGTGTACACAAATCAAGTATCGAAAAGAAACGATAAATCAATGCTGAATAAATTTCCAATGCTCCAGCAAAATGAAATGCCCAATGTTTAATGCTCTGTATGATTTTGTTTTCGTAATTGTAGTTGAATATTATTTCTAGTTAACGTTTTTTGTTTGCTCTAAGCGTCATTATATGCTCTATACAAATATAAATGCAAGCTATATATTTTAATATATTTAATATATATATACAATACCTGACCTCTTATTATAAACGTATCATAATCCCACTCGCTATTGTTTGTGTTTATGTCTATTATGAAAGGCAAAGTTGATATCTAAACTATTTGTGTTTTTTTTTCTATTTGTGTTTCAATGTTATCCCAACAAAAATGTTTTAATTTGCCTTTAATGTTTTCTATGTGAAACAATCGACTAAGCCTAAAAACAATAGTTTTATTTTTTGTTTAAGTCAAAACAAGAAAAAATCGTTGTTTACTTCAAATAAGAGTAGTTTACACGCAGTGGTGTTCTAGTGGGACTGTACATTGTCAGCTTGCCGTTGATGTGGGCCTCACTTTGTAATTGGATTCGTAATGCTAACCGAAACGTACAAATATATATATATACATATATATATATATATATACAATATATATAATCTGTAACATCTAATCAAATAATAATTCATTATAAAATCAAAACCTTAATTGATAAAACAATCGAACTAAATAAAAACTCAGACTAAACTCCATGAACTTTAAACACATATTGTTTAACCAGAATATTATGCAAGTAGTTTGTTCGAAACAATCAAAAGATCCCAATAAAATATTTCCAGATATCACATATATATACACAATTCATGTGATCTGTTCCATTTACATATGTATGTATTGTTTATGCATATCTAGTACATATATATATATATACTTAGTTTCCAAGCAAGCAAAAAAATATAGACAATAACCAACATAAGAAATTGTTCAACAATATGCTGGTGTAATATTTCTGGTTAGACGTTCAGTACTTGAATTTATTTGGCCAAAACTTAAAAAAGAAAAAAAAGAAAACATAATTGTCACGAAAAAACAAAAATGTATTTGTATTTGTTTGTAAAAAATCCCAAGTCAAAGGCAAAATAGATTTTCAAGTATTGTGCATGAGAAATCAAATCCCTCGTACTAAACAGCAACTAAATAAAAACGCATTTATAAATAATACCAATCAACAAAAAAACCATATATTTATCAAAATAACCTAACCTCCAGCCTAACCTTAACTAAATGTTTAGTGTCTCAACAAATCTTAACTTTGTTGACACTTCTAATTATTACCATTCCCACACCATTTTGTTATTTGCTAAGCCCACATCCCCAACCGAGCCACTAACAAGAACACACGCCACAACTAATTTAATATATATATATACTAACCAAATTAAAATAAAAAAAACAACAATCGTCATACTTTAACTACATTCATATCTAAGTCATAAGAGACTTTTAGTTTAGACTAAACAGAATAAACTTAAGCGCCACGACATGAAATCATATTACATCAAATTATACCTACAAGCATAAGCGAAACATGCCAGCAAACAAATTTTATTTATTATTTAAATTTATTTATTATTTGAAACAAATTATTTTGATGTTGTAATCAATAAAAAGTAGTAGGCTAAGCATCAAATTTATACAAGATGCTCGGCTAGCCGATACCTAGGTGAGCTCTCTACAAAGATATATTTAAAATACTTTCTTCACTTGAAATTTTTGACCGATTTATCATTTAATGTCTTATATTAAAATCTAGCAGATTGAGGTATTCCAAACATTTTTTATGTTAATGCGATCAAGTTCGATTCAATTCTGACAATTTCACATATAAATATACAAATCTTATTCAAATAATATATTATTAATAGATGGAAATGCATTTATCGAACCTTGACTTTTCGTCGCTTCTATAAATTATATTTGAATTTCCTATAATACGACTGGCAATATATTCTCAATCGATAGATTGCACGTGGTAATCCAATCAATCCAAGCAAATTAAATACCACAAGTGCCACATTATATACAATATATATTTGCCCCTTTAGAATGATTTTTTCAACATGTGATTATAGTAAATTAAATTAAATACATATATCTATATTAATAATTTTTCAAAAGCGTAGTAAAGTATACTTCCATGTCTCTCTGAGTTCTGCGTACTTCCATATAATAGAGAACTCTCTTCATTTTCTGTCATTCAATGTACCTTGCGTAGTTTCCTCTCTGTTCAAGGCTGAGCTACAAATCGAATATTTGTAAAACGTGCTCAATTAAACACTTCTGCAAAGAAACAAACTTCTGCACTTTTTATGCCGAATAGTTAACTCGGTCGAATTTTTCTCAACTTTTCTTTTTCGCTTCTGCATTATTTTTCTTTGGACAGCTCATCAAAGCATTGTACGCTAAATGCTTACATTCCAATCACGCCCAAATACAGAAAAACTTTTGCCTAATTCACGTATCAATCACTCAACATAAGTACAAATTTTGGCGCTAAATTTTATTTTCATTTGCCGTCACTTAGCCCATCTGCTCAAACATACTTAAATATACAAACACACTCTTTATAAAACCAATTAAATATAACCAAACTATATCTATGTGTACGTATGTGTTTACTGTGTGTATGTGTATGTATGTGTGTGTATACTTAGAAGACATACTTAAAACAAAAAATCAACGCTAATTACGCCCTGCCCCAATACATTAATGTTTATCAGACGTCCGTTCAGACAATCTGTAGATGTGCCTGACGAAGAATACCCTGGACTTAATTGTTGGATATTGTAAGCAATACTTTTTACGAATATCTACAAACGAATTTTGAGACAAATTATGCGAATATATTCGCAAATTCTTAAATTCTTTGGACAGAAATACTTATAATCAGCTAATAAAATTCTTTCTTTAGTCTGACAAAAACATATATTGAAGTATTTGTAACGAGCTCGCCAACTGCCAAGATATTACAGGGCATGAGCGCAGTCGCATTAGCGACTATTAAGCGGGCTTCTCACGTATTTCTACGTATTTCCGATTGTAATCAGAGTAGTTATTCAGCTAAATGCAATTGATATACTCACACATTTCATTCTTTCCATTGCATTGGGCATATGAGCTATACAACTGTACCCGTGTGTCTGTGTATGCGAGAGTGTGAGTGTTTGCTTATCTATTAACCAAATAATTAATTGTTTTCATTGTTGATATGTGTGTGCTATTGTACGTTCTAGCTGTGTTCCACTGTGTATATAGCTATAAATATATTCATATCATGTCTTAGTCGATTGCCAGTTAAAACTAACCCATCTTTAACCACATAAATAAATATATATATATGCATACATATAAATATCTACTATTATAACCAACTCTATATACATTTATATTTGTGTGAGTGTGTACTGTTATATGTCATGTCTATATGTCTCCAGACAATTGCATCTAATGATGCAGCGCACACAAACGACGAATATTTGCAATAAGTTATCTGAAACAGAAACCAAATCAATCATATGTTGGTTCATTAAGTATCTGTAAGTTAGTTTAAGTTCTGTTTTAAGCTCGGCTTAGTTGCATGTCACAGCGTAGTTTATAGTTAAGCTATTGATGCAGAAGAATATTTTTGTATATGTGTGTGCGTGAGAGCCGTTGAAGCAGCTTTCAAAAAAACTCGTGGCTAAAAGTTCTTAATGCCGACTATATGTATGTATCCATTTTTATCTGTATTGGATATATTATACATTGGATATCGCGTAAATATCGG